ACTCATTGTTCTGTTGCTGCTTTTGCTCTGCATCCAACAGCACAGCTTTGATGAATGACGCAGTTTCTTTGAGCTCTAGCAGATCTTCGTGCACACCCAGCACCAAAGAAGCTTCTTCAACAGCACGAGAAGCAATATTCCCAATGAGTGATTCTGCGACGCTGAAGAGAAGGGATTCGGCCATGATTTTGGGGGAAAGATGAAAGAGCAGAGAAAGGAATGCAACGCACTTCTGAGAAGTGTGTGGCTGGAAGAGGGGGGAGCCAAGAAGAATTGTAAGAGTATACAAGGTCAAGTCAATGGCTAAGTCTAGCAAAATATCTTAAGCACGAAGTGTTCCACACTTCAAGTGCACTCATTCGGCTCTGGAAAAAAAAAATGTGTTGTAGATAAGCTTGCCAGTGCACTCACAAAAGAAAAAGAGAGAAAGTATTTTGCGAAGTTCTTTTTATTTTTCTTAGAGTAAATATTCTTTTTGATCTTCGTCAAATTTAATGATGATCGTGGTCCCTAGTAAATAAAAAGGCTTAGCGTGGTTCTTAAGAAATTCAAAATGTATCCATTTTAGTCCTTTTAGGGACTAATATGGATCTTTTTTGAATTTGTGAGGGACCACGATTTCAACTAAATGGGTCCATTTTGAATTTCTTAGGAACCACGATGGTCTTTTTATTTGCTAGGGACTAAAACGGGCGTCGTGAAATTTGCCGAGGACCAAAAAATGTATTTACTCTTTTTCTTATTCTCTCCCGGGTGCTCTTTCTGATGAGATTTTTGAAAAGATTGGATTACTTACTTTTCCCTCACAGATGTGCTAGCAGGGTGTTCGCAGTCTAGATTGGATCATTTTTAGAAGTAAAAATTATCCGATACAATCCCTTCGGTTTGATCATATAATCAATCATTCAATTTGGATTCTTTTCAAATTTCGATTCGATCCAATCCAGTTTTTTTCAGTTTAGATTGTATCGGTTTTCAATTTTTTGAAAATCTAAAAATTTATTTCATGATTATTGTGCAAATAACATCTTTTGTATATATTGGCTAGGGGTGTAAATGGGCCAGGCTGGCCCAGCCCAGCCTACGGTCCGGCCTACATTAAGCCCAGCCCAGGCTCGGCCTTTCAGAAAAGTAGAGTAGGCTTAGGCTTATAAAAAAGCTTTTTTAATAAATAGGCCATAGGCCAATTTTGTCAAGCCCGGCCTACAGCCTTGTAGGCTGGCCTATTTAATTTATGAAAATAAAATAATAAAATAATATTTATTTTATGTGGCAAAGACACAAAGTACTAAATACCAATATCTCTTACTTTTTGTGCTATTTTATTTTATGAAAGAAAAACTTGTCTAATGTCTCCAAATTTTACATGCTGTTGCAGCTTAATACCTTGGAGCAATGGGTACCTTGCTGGATTATGATGTTACTGATGAAGATCTTTCAATAATACTCTTCTTTCCCTTGTCTTGATGGTGGTTTAAAGATTTTTAAATGAATGATATTCTCTTGTAGACTTTATTTCAGCATCCAGTAATTGTATTTTTCTTATTTTTCTCATTTCTTTGACTTTATTCCTCTATGATATACATTCTAGAGCTGAGGTATTACGTTGACTCTTTCTTGTTTGTCATCTTTTTCTTATGAGAAGTACTAGTGCATGGATGAATGAAACTTTCTTTGCTCTATACAATTTATTTTTTTTGCTTAGTATATATAGTGGGAAGCCTACAAGGCCTGTAGGCCATGTCAGGCTTTCTTATTTTTTAAAATGGGTCGGGCTTGGCCTACAAATAAAGCCTTTAATAGGCCAGTAGGCCAGATAGGCTAGATTTTTTTTTTACGTAGGCTTGGGCCAGGATGGCCAAAGCCCAGCCCAGCCCAGCCCATTTACACCCCTAATATTGGCTTTTAAAATTTTTTTCTTTTGAAATACAAAAACATTAATAAATTATGATACAGTTTTGATTACCAAAAAAAAAACTATAATATAGTTTTTATTTTTTTTTTGAACAATGAGATATGAAACTCTACAAAGATCATATTTTGTTGATGAGATGTGACTAGATTTTTTCTTGGGTTTAGTTGATGGGTTAATGGGTCTTGGATTTAGAAATTTTTAGGCTATGATTAGGGAAAGATCTAAGTATATAGAGGAGAATTAATATATTGGATCGATATGGATTGGATCGATTTTCATCAGTCCATCTAAAAACCGATTCAATCTAATTAAAATTTGTGGTTTTTTTTCAATTTTCGATTTTTCAATTTTCGATTTATTCAGTTATCGATTTTTTGGTTCGGTCACCGCAATTTGAATCAGTTTGAATCGGTTGACGAAGATTCGTATGCCTTAGCTCTGCCGACACAGATAAGGAAGAGAATAATTGATAACCAGCTACATAAACAGAATGGACAAAAACCTAAAGCAGGTGTGGCTAACTATTACTCAAAAGAAAGAAAAGACAGCACTGAGGGGGCATTTGGTTGGTGGATTTTGTGGAGAAAGATGGGGAAATGGCAAGTGGGATTGTTGGAGAACCAAGTTTGGTTGGACTGCTTTCAAAGTTAGCTATGTAAATGACTTTCCTAGTTCTCATGTTTGCCTACCAATCTGAAACGAAAAAACCGGCAAAATAAACCCACTTCATGGTGTGGTATTTTGACTTAGCTAGCTATTTGGTGACATAGGAAAGCGTGCGATGACAGAGATGCTCTCCTTTCTTTTTTGGTGACATTCGAATAAAGGGTAGTTGATACTGATTCAAAATAATTTGAAGAGAGGGTTATTTTCGTAACTTCCAACCTTCTTTCCCATCTATATTTTCCTTACATCCAAACATAGACATTATAAATTTACTTAATTTTCCTGGTAAAATATTTTCCAACCAAACAACTTTTTTTAACATTTTCCTACCAAACTCACTTTCCACCTATTTCCCTATGTATATCATTTCCCTATTATTCATAAAATTTTCCCTCAACCAAACGCCCCATGAGAGGCATCCTTTTTCGGTGATAGGACACTAACACGGTAACACCTTCATTATTATCTCCCCATTTAGAGATAAGTATAATTTTTAAAAAGAAAAAGCTTGTGGAATTTTTTTTTATCATTTACTTACAATGTTGCTAAATGGGGAGGGCCAAAGCTCAGACCAGATTATCTCCATCGTAACAACCATTTTAGATTATTTCAATTGAACCAAAAATATTATGTTCAATAAAAAAAAGGCTAGTATGTTTTTTTTTTTTTTTTGGTGTGGGGCTGATATGTTTTTGCTCATTCATAAAATTTTATCACTTGACAAACATTTTATTTCATATACATAAACATACATATTCATGTGGCAATTAAATAAATTATTTGAAACAAAAATTACCCTTTCGAAAGTAATCACTGCCACCAGTACTCCAAAAGGAGAGTAGTGATGGGTTAGGCGCGTTAGTTCACGCGCGCGATTTTTTTCTAGAGCGTTAGGTTTTTGGTTGTTCTTTTGCTGAGTGGGTTTCGATGGAAGAAAATCCAGTTGCTTGTGATGATGCTTTGCGAATGGAGAGGAAGAGTACTAAGAGATCTAAGAATGGGGAAGAAATTCTGGCTGAGGTTCGAATGAGGGAAGCGGTGAGGGTTTTCCAGTCGGGTTCTCCGATGAAAGCGAAGCAAAGATCCTTTGCTGATGTTACGGGCGCGGAGAACGGGGTGGCTGGGGAAGCTATTCCTTGGCTGATTGAGGAGGAAGATGTTGATCTGGAGCCGTTGGATCCAAGTTTGGGGGAAATTTCTGAATGGAGATTTCAGACGATCTTCAGGGAAGCTGGCTCTGTGGAGATTAAGAGCAACAGTGAGGCTAGGGCGAGGATGCGTCAACGCTGGAGACATGCTCTCATTGTCAAGTTGCTGGGAAAGAAAGTAGGAGTGGGTTTCATGAAAAAGAAGCTGGAGTCCTTTTGGGCCAAAGCCGGTAGCATTACGGTGGCGGACTTAGGGAACGAATTCTTTTCAGTGAGGTTCAGCTCTCTTGAAGATCTCAATATGGCCATCACTGGAGGTCCATGGATTATTTTGGGTCACTACCTTGCCACTAGAAAATAGGAATCGTGCTTTGATCCGGACAAGGCCAATATACATAAGGTGGCTGCATGGGTTAGGCTTCCTGGAGTGCCTCAAGAATATTGTGAGTTCCCCTTTCTTAGTCAATTGGGTACTGTAATAGGGAAGGTCCTTAAGGTGGATAAGACGACGTCAACAGGGGATAGGGCCAGGTTTGCTAGAGTGTGTATTGAGGGTGGATCTCTCCAAGCCTCTGAGAGGTGAATACATCCTTGATGGATGTAGGAAGCAAGTGGAATACGAAGGATTATTCCTTATTTGTCTGAGATGTGGGAAATATGGGCATAATGCAGACTCATGCCCTGATTATGCTAAACCAGTTTACACTAAAAAAGAAGAGGGAGTTGTTGAGGTGCCAGTGACTAATCAGGGCGCTCAAGTGGTAGGACCTTGGATGGTAGTCCAGCGAAAAAAAAGAATTCAGCAGTCTGGCCAGAACAAGGTTAATGCAGGTGGTAGGAAATTTGGTGAAGACATATCAAACAAGAAAAGTACCAATGAGGCTGAGGTGGTTGGTAGGACTGTTAAGTGTTCTCAAGTTTTTCAGGCTGTGAATTCTGCAGCAAGTCATCATGTTAGTGAAGGTAGTAGGGAGGAAAATGTGCTTAAGGAAAATGAGGGGTTGAAGAGAAATGTTAAGACAGATGCTGGTGGGATGAGGTTCTCGGCTGCTGCTCCAAGTCAGCCTAGGAAATCTACAGGATCTAAAAATCTTGTGATAACAGCTAGGAAGCAAAATCCCAAGAATTTCAACAGTAAAGGCAAAGGAGTGGCTCCCCTATCTCCTGCTGTTGTTGCTGTTGCCAATAATTGGGTAGGGCAGGACCTCTTAGGAGTTTAAAGGCAGTCCAATGGGGAACAAATTAAGGGTCAACTTTGGGGAGATTTAATGATGGCTGTTGATAATTCAATGGAGGAGGGTAGTGCTGGGAAGATAGTAGAAGAGAAGGTGGTCTTCGAAGAAGTAGTGAAGGATCCTGACCCACCAGAGCAAGATTTTGTAAAGGATGGCAAAGAAGAAGGTATCCAGTCAGGAATGGAGGTAGATAAAGCCTCAGGTTTGGGAGGAATTCCCGAATTTTGTTCCATGAATGTTGATTGCAAACCTGTAGGTGAGCAAAAGTTTACTGCTGAGAGTGACTCTTTTTCAGTTAATAATGAGTTAAGTAGCAAGTGCTTATAGAACTTGCAACTAAACCAATCTTTATCATGCATATCATTTCTTGGAATTGTAGGGGGGCTGCGAAAAATCAATTCAAAAGTACTTTTTCTAGATTCTGTAGAAAGTATAAGGTAGGTGTTGCTGCTATTTTTGAACCTAGAGTTAGTGGTTCTAAAGCAAATAGGATAATTCATTGTATGGGTTTTACTAACAGTATAGTTGTTGATGCTCTTGGTTTTGCTGGGGGTATCTGGCTGGTTTGGAATAATAGGGATGTTAAAATATCCCTCATATCTAAACATGATCAGTTTATTCATGTTTGGGTTGAGTTCCCTGATATGGTTGGTTTTTTCTGGACAGCAGTGTATGCTAGTCCTCATTATAATATCCGTCAAGAGCTTTGGGAGGATTTAAAAGTCTTGAGCAGAAATCTGGTTGGGCCTTGGCTACTGTCTGGTGATTTCAATGAGATAACCTTGGTTTCTGAAAAAAAAAAGGTGGGGGTCCTGTGGATGGCAGTAGGTGCTGTCAGTTTGCAAGTGTGCTTAATGAGTGTGGGGTTATGGATTTGGGTGGTGGAGGCAATAGATTCACTTGGAAGGGCCCAAAATTTCTCCATTTAGAGAGAGTCTATAAAAGACTTGATAGGGCAGTAGGGAATGAGTCTTGGAGGGCTGCTTTTGAGGAGGCTGATGTTCTTGTTTTGCCTAGGCTGTTCTCAGATCACAGCCCAATTCTGGTCAGAATGGTGAGAGAGGAGGTTTGCTGGAGGGAAAGACCTTTTAGGTACTTAGTTGTTTGGCAGAATGATGTCAGATTTCTTCCTTTCATGAAAAATAACTGGATCCCTTCAGATAGTTTGTTGGACAATCTGAACTCTCTGGTTCCAATGCTTAAGGAGTGGAATAAAAAAGTTTTTGGCTTCACTGAATTGAGAAAAAACAGAATCATAGCCAGAATAGAGGGGATACAAAGGAGGATCAAATCTGGCAACTGTTTGCAATTAGAGAAGCTGGAGGCTGTTTTGAATAAGGAGCTTTCTGAAATCCTTGATCAAGAGGAGCACATTTGGTTCCAAAAGTCTAGGGGTGAGTGGATTAGAGAGGGTGACAGGAACACGAAATACTATCACACTAGCACAATTATTCGAAGAAAAAGAAATAAAATTCTTAAGCTTCAGGATGACAAAGGCAATTGGGTGATTGAAGAGGAAAATTTAATTAACCTTGCTAGGGATTTTTTCCTAAAGTTGTTCAGGGAAGATTCTAAAGATGCTTGCTGGTTCCAAACAAACAATTCTTGGCCAAGCTTAAAGATGGACCATATTGATATGTTGGAAACTGAGTTAACCTTAGAGGAAGTGAAAAAGGCTTTTTTCCAAATGCCTCCTTTAAAGGCTCCTGGGGTAGATGGATTTCCAGCTATTTTTTATCAAAGGAATTGATGTTAAAAGACCAAGTCCTTAAAAGCATGAAGCATTACTTGGATAGTCTGAATCAGATTGGTGAGCTAAACCATACCCTGGTGGTGTTAATTCCAAAGGTGGAAAGACCCTGCTTGATGAAGCAGTTTCGGCCTATAGCTCTTTGCAACTCTATTTACAAAGGTTTTAGCAAGATTCTGGCTAATAGAGTAAAACCTTTGTTGGAGGAACTGGTGTCTCCAAATCAGGCCAGTTTTGTGCCAAAGAGAAATATTCAGGACAATATAATCATAGTCCAAGAATTGATTCACTCTATGCACAGGTTGAAAGGTAAAAAGGGTTTCTTCTCTATTAAGATAGACTTGGAAAAGGCTTATGATAAGTTGAGCTGGAAGTTTATTAGAGCAGTGTTGGAAGAGTTGAAATTCCCTAGGACTATGGTGGAAGCTATAATGGGGTGTGTGTCTAGCCCTGTTTTGGAGGTGCTTTGGAATGGTGCTAGAACCCTTAGTTTTTGTTCTCAGAGAGGGATTAGACAAGGGGACCCACTATCCCCTTATATTTTTGTTCTATGTATGGAAAAGTTGTCTCATTTAATTAGGGATGAAGTGGAGAGTAAAGCTTGGTGCCCAATGAGAGTTGGGAGAACTGGGCCACAGATATCACATATTTTATTTGCTGATGACATAATATTATTTGCAGAAGCCTCTTTAATTCAACTCAAGTGTGTTGTTAATTGTCTTGACAAGTTTTCCATGATGTCAAGTCAATGTGTGAGTTTTGAGAAATCTTGTATATACTTCTCTAAAAACTCTGATCAGGATATTATACAGTCAATTGCTGATGCTAGTGGGTTCAAGGTGGTTAAGAATCTTGGCAGGTACTTAGGAGCATTAATGAGACATGGCAGAGTTCACAGGGATCACTACTCAGATGTTATTGCACGAGTTCAGTCTAGACTCCAGGGATGGAAATCCAAATGACTCTCTATGGCTGGGAGAATCACTTTAGCAAAGAGTGTTATATCAGCTATTCCTTCCTATCATATGCAGAATAATTTGATTCCAGTCCATGTGTGCAATGATATTCAGAGAATGCAAAGAAGATTTATTTGTGGAGATGAGGATGATAAAAGAAAAGCTCATTATGTGGCTTGGGAGAGGATGTGCCAGCCTAAGGTGTGTGGAGGATTGGGCATTATCAACCTAAGGACTCAAAATGAAGCCTTTATGCACTAGCTAGCCTGGAAGTTGATAGAGAATAAGAACAGTCTTTGGGCTCAAGTCCTATTAGGGAAGTATGGCAGAAATCTAGATCCTAGCCGTGGGTTAACAGCTAAGAGTAGTGACTCGATTCTTTGGAAGAATATTGTCTCAGCTAGAGCAAAGATTGATCAAAACCTGGAATGGGTGGTAGGGAATGGCAAATCTGTTTTATTTTGGACTGATATGTGGGGTGGAAGGCAGGAGACTTTGCTGGATAGTGCTACTATCAAACCACCAATAACTGACCTTACCCTTAAGGTGTGTGAAGTGGTTGACTGTAAAGGTGAAGACTGGGATTGGAATTACCTGACTAAGTTCTTAGACAGACCATCTTGCAGCAATCTGAGTAAAATTAGTATTCCTGATGCTAACTGTTCTGAGGATTGGCTCAAATGGAAAAAACTTGCTTCTGGGAAATCAGTTGTGAGAAATGCTTATTGCCTACTTTTGAATCCTAAGTATGAGAGGGACAAAATATGGGCTGCTGTTTGGCAGTGGAAGGGACCTTTTAGAATGGCTGTTTTCATCTGGTTAGCCTGTCTTAATAAATTGCCTGTTAGGAGGATCACTTCCCTATGGAGTGGGGGGGAGGTTCTGTGTCCAACTTGTGCTGTCGGGCATGAAACATTGATGCATGTGATGAGAGACTGTTCTGCTGCTAGAAGCATTTGGGAGATTTGGTTTGATGGTAAAATTCCTAGGAGTTTTCTGCAAACTGATAACTTGGAGTGGTTTAGATTAAATTTGATTAATAAATTCCAGTCTCATTTGTGGCAGTCTTGGACTGAATTATTTGTTCTGACTTGCTGGTATTGTTGGCAGTGGAGGAATTCTGCCATTCATGAGGCAAGTTTCTCTAGACCTCTGTACCCAGTCTATGAAATTCTTTGCTACTTGAAGGGGATGAGAAGAAGTAAGAAGGGTGAACCAACAGTGCTTGTGACTAGCCAGTGTTTAAACCTTAAGGGCTCTGGTCAGAAGGACTCTAATTGCAAGGTGAGGATATATGTTGATGGTGCTGTCAGCATTGTTAATCAGAAAGAAGCTTGTGGAGGATTTGCTGTTTCAGCTGATGGTGATTGGCTAGGTGGATTTTCCCACTCGATAGGCAAATGCACTCCTTTGGAAGCTGAGTTAGAAGGCATCCTTCAAGGACTCAAGCTAGCTGCAAGATTAAAAATATCAAAGCTTTGGATATAAAGTGATTGTAAAGAAACTTTGTCGTGCTTAGAGGACAAGCCTGAAGATCTCTGGTTCTCATCCTTGCTAAGTAATATAAGGAAAGCTGTCATCTCCTTTGAGTTTGTTCAGCTGGAATACATTAATAGAGATAGTAATTTTGTAGCAGATCTTTTAGCAAAAAAAGGTTTGTATTTTAAGGGGGATGAGATAAGAGTGTTTGCCTTTCCCCCTAAAAGCATTGTAGCTTTGTAGAACACCTTTAGGGTGAATTTACTGATAGAGCATGTGAACTCTAACATGCATCAGTTGTCTTTGTAGTTTTGCTGGGCTAGGCCCTCCATTTATATAAAAAAAAAGGAGAGTAATATCTTCATTGTGGATTATGTTGTTCACGTGAGAGTTGAGGCTATAAATATTCGAATTCATAACGATTTATTAATGGCAATATTGGCATGCAACTATTGCTGAAGGAAACTCGTAGCTGCTGATTGCCGACAACCTATTTTCATCCGCTACATTATTGTTTTATTTTACCTTATTGTTTTATTTGAAAAAGAAAACAAAGAAGATAATAAAATGTCTTCATTAATTTTTCTAAAATTAAAAAGTAAAAGAGAGAGAGAGAGAGAGATTTTCTACTGAATAATTCTTTGTATTTTTGTTACTCTCTCGCCAATGCCCTTTCGTTGGAGTTTTTTTTTGGAAAGTTTGGATGACTTGTATTTTTTTCCTGAAGACAGAGATGTCTAGTCCAATAGGCCAGTAAGTTTCTTTTGGATCTAAGTGTTCTCTAAAGTACTTATAAATTAGATACCCTTGAGTTTAGCATATCATTGTACACTAAGAATAAAAAATGGCTTTTGTCAATGGGGTGGTGTGTGTACTGTGACAACATAACAATAATAAAAAGAGAATCCTCATACCTGTAGGCTTTATCTCTTATTTACAGAGTTTACCTGTGGGCATTAGGATTTTGGACTTTTTATGCCTCTTCTAGCAGCCCAAGCCCATGTTTAACGTTGTCGTATTAGAATTAATATATTTAATGGATATCCTCCTTTGATTATATCAGGTTTGTATTTGGATTACCCCTTATTGGGTCTTTAAATGGGCCTCACATATAAGTTCATAACAGTTGCCCCTCAGCCAGGCAATCTGGGTGTCCGGGCTGCCAGGGTACATAAATCTTTAAAGGTTGTCCGAATTTCAAAAGATTTCTGTACCTATCCGGGTATCAACAAAAAATTTCCCGGACTTCCCATCGAGAAGTTTCGGGTTTACATTCATAATTTCTCGGACTTCCCATCGAGGAGTATCTAGGTTTGTTATATTAGTTCTAAATAATGTATCTGTCCCCTATCTGGGCAAATTGAATCTTCAACTTGCCAACTTATTGTCTATATTGATTTCAACCAACTTGTGACCAACCTTGGATTGCTTTCACTTTCTATTGATGAGTTGCCCCCAGGTCCATCTTTTATCCACCCGGTTCAACTGCTCAATATAAGATTTGTCGTCACTTTGTTTCGTGAGGAAGTATCTCTATTGAAATCCAGCTCTTGGTCTTTGCTCAACGTAATTTCTTGTATTTTTGACGCTATATGAACCGAGTTAGTCTTTGTCCGTTTGTAAAATCATATATCCGAGATAAGAGTTGCATGTTGTTCGAGCAATGATGAGACCCTTACACGTGGTGATCTTTGATATTGCTAACGTGTTGTAGGCAGCTTACGCCGTCTTCGCATTTCGTGCGCATTAAATGCACGAATCATTTCACCCATCTAATCATTGCTTTTTGGGGTGAATTTGCACTTATGCCCCTAACCTTTGCCTTTCAAAACTCCAGCGATTACGTTGCACTATTCATATTCCCCCTATTTTTTTTATTTGCATCTTACTTTCAGTTTCTGAGGAGTCTGCATTGTGTCTTTCCTTTCATTTTCTTCAATTTGAAAGGCCTCTTTTGGAGCATATCCAGAAATTTTCTCATCTTCAACTAAGGTATCTCCACTTACCCTTCCAATGTTCCTTTTCCATTGTCATTATTTTGAATATTGAAGGTGTTCGTATTCTTTCACCCTCACTTGTCACGCGCATCTGTCGATTCTTTGGGTTTTCTGCTTTTGGATCTTCGTTAATTTCTCCCTATATTGTATTATACTCTATAGTGCTTAAATGCTTGTTGAATTTATGTAGCATTTTTGGTGTTTCTGGGTAGATAAGCATATAAGTTTCCATCATTTCTCTAGAAACACCAGGGTGTTCATTATATTTATCCTTTGTTAGATGTAACGCCCCGTCTGCAACCAGTTAATTAACATTCATATGATAGTAAGCGTAGCATGCTCAACTTAATTAATGCGGAAGCTAACTGAATAAATTTTCTCTTTTTCCTTATGTATTGCAAACTTTTTCACTTCCATGGCCAAAATAAAACGGACATCATTTCGTCTCTATTTTAGACCACTGAGGATTATTCCCTCCAAGATAATTTCAACCTGATTGACAGTTTAATATTCCAGGCATACCACAACATATATAAAACATATTGCCCAGCCATCCATGACTTAGGCTATCTCATAATCATATTGTCTCAAAATAATATCCATGATGTTACTTATATAATTACATCAAATAAACAAAAGAGATAAAATTAAATAAGTAACATAGACTTGAGCATGCATCACTAACAGCATATACAGACTATCGACATGGCATAGACACTCCCTATGCTCTTCAAAAAATAACATGGTATATATACATATCCAAAATAAAATCATGTTAAATACATATAAGCATAACAAGCTAATCCTGACTATCAGGTCAGGTAATATCTCTCGTCTGACTTCTTGCCACGCGATGCCTCAGCACCATTAGCTCCTGTACCTGAAATGGTAATCCCCATAACGCGTGGTGAGATAATATAATTACCTCAGTAAGCTAGGGACCCTTGAGGGCTCCTCCACTCCTAAGCTCACTTCTGGTATAATTACAGTACATAAAATATCCATGCATGCATCAAAATATGTATGATAATACAGTGTGCAATAATGTAATTCTACTGGCCAGAGAATATAACAAGTATGCATTACGCAAGGAAATACCGTCTTGCAACATACCGTATGAGGAAACACCGTCTTATGCCTCACACAAGGAAACATCGTCTTGTGTGGCACACAAACATACATACATATACATGCAACATATAACAGTTCATATTCACATACCATATAAAAGTACCATCCTCTCTCGGAGTTTGGTGGAACAAACGGGGAATTAACCCCAAGGATCGAAAACTTACCTAGAATAGCTCTTTTTCTAGCCTCTTCCAAGTCAAACGGGCAATAAGTCAACAAAATGCTCAACAAATGACCAACACACCTATCCATGGTGAATTTATCACAATTAAACATATACCCATTTCATATAAGTTTCACATCAAACCATTGTTTGATACTTACCTCAATCTCAAGTAATCAAGAGTCTTGCTCAATGTCCATGTTCTTGCTCCACAAGTCCACTTGGTCTCACACTATAATCAAGGAACACATTTTCATTATTATCCATCATTAATGCATACATACGGTACTGTTCATCTCTACAGTACTATTCATGTATATGTCACTATACACGTATACGACACTATTCAAAAATCCTAAGTTTACAAACCCTAAGCTCATGCATTTGTCCAAAAACATAAGAGAGGGTTACGGTAATTACCTTGGGTGTCTCAATCTACCAAATGGAAGACTAAACAAGCTTCCAAGCCAAGTAATATACCTCTTCCAACCCCAAATCCGAAAATGGGTCCTTCAAAATATGTTTCACTCTCATTCAAATGTAGCTACCAAGTTGAAGGGATGAGGGAGAGGAAGGAGAACAAGATGGAGAGAAGGAATGAGAGTGATTTCTCTTTATTTCCTTAAGGGTTTGATCGAAATAAAATGGAAGAAAGAAAAAGAGCTCTCCTTCATTTGAGAGATGAGGGATTGGTGCGGCAGAGAAAGGAAAGAACGAGAGAAATGAAAATAGTTTGGTATTTTAAGTGGCTCTTATATCTAATTGGGTATAAGTTTAACTCTCATTCTAACTTTACATATTGGTTTACAATATTTTTATGGTAATATTTATCATTTTACTTTTCACTTTCGAGAAACTTTGTCTATTCACATTTTTACTCCTTAACTGTTATTTTAAGTTCTTAACTCTTTTTTACCAAATGTAACTTTATTTATTTTTCTTACACTTTTTCCTCTAATTATTCTTCGATATTATGATAAAATTATTGATCTCTAATTAAATCCACAATTACATGTAAGGGTTATTATAATAAGAAAAAAAATCATAGTTGAATTGGTTCGTAATTAAGCTACTAGGATTGGTACGAGGGATTTTGGTAGTTTGCCTAAGGTCATAGATTCAAACCTCAGTGCTCCCATTTTATTAAAAAAAAAAATTAGTTTTTAATAACAGGTAACATTAAAGTAGAATCAAGAATTAATATCAAACTTAATATTCAACGGAGATAAGAACATGAATAAAGATTGTATCTTACTAAACTTAAATAAGAGTCCTCTGCAATACAAACAGCAGCAGCCTAGAGATAATTCACTGCACAATAAGTGGCTACTTGTGCGAGAGAAAAACAACCAGCATTAGGACTCAACAAATTCAACTACTTCTCAAATCAAAAGTATGAATTCCAAAAGGATAATTAAGATATGACAGAACAGTAGTCCATTTAGACAAATATGACATAGCACAGGTGGACAAAAGGATAGTTATAATCTCATTATGCATCAACACATTCAGTTTTAATCATAAAACAAACATTATAAAATAACATTCCAATCAAATTAATTCAGCCAATGCTAATTGAATTGGGACAAAGATTATTTCAGTACAGACACATAAAGATTATATAGAACAATGATCTTCTCTTCAGAACAAGAAATTTTCTGAACGATAAGCAGTAAGCACCATCAATTGAGAGATTGAAGCAAGTGAATCTGCTTTGCCTTTGTAGCTCTGGTACTAAAAAGTCTAACTTTACTTCCACCCCATGTGATTCTACAAGTATTAAAAAGTAAATAAACAAGAAATGAATCAACCTTTTGCTTGGGGAAGAAGGAAGCATTTAATTAAATAAACTATCAATTTAATTTCCTTCCAGAATTAAGCACAAATAAATCTCTGAGGAACCATCACAGACATACTATCTAGACAAACTACAAAAGATTGATTATTTACAAATCTTAACATCAGTTTTTAGGCCATTTTACAACATGTAGGAATCTAAAATTCTAGACTATATTTGTCTACGAGCCACAGAAAAGATCCCTATATTTGGTATCATGTGAGACACAAGGGTCTTGGATTTCTTTTTTATATAATTCACCCAAAAATCTAATTTAATTACATTGATCTTAAGAATTCAATGATTATAAATTTGTGTACTTTAATGCTCTCTTCAGCCAAGTGTGAAAAATGAGTACCACACTTATCTGCTTCTCTGTCCAAAACCTGAGATTTTGCAAATTTGAACATACTTAAATTCTTGAAATTTCAACAACCATTCACTTAGAGCTATTCGAATTAAAAAACTGATTTGATTATCAGGTGGAAGTCATTATATGAAAGAGATAGAACAGAGGAAGTGTTAAAATATTAGTTCCAAAAAATCTTGAGTATATACAACATAAAAAGAAAACTTCCAACACTAAATTAAACTGAGATGCACCTCCTACAAGAGGTACATCAACGTTTCATTTTCTTGGTAAAAAAAGAAAAATGAAGATAAAAGACATATCTCATCAATATGACCATCATCAAAGGAAAGTAAAATTTCCAGTAATGGCATAGTAATCAAAATCATCGTCACCTTTTTCTAAAAAGAAAAATTTGTCATAACAATTGTGACATGTATACAAAAGCATTCTCTTTCTTCAGAGTTGAAAACCGTACCAAATTTATATTAAATACCTATCATTGTTTGTTATTCATATGTATACAATCTGCAGAGGTAATTTTGATACATCATTCACTGCAACAAACTTCAAGATATTATAAACTGGAATCCATTAAGTAAAAGAAAAAAGGTCATCATATGCTAAGTTGTAAATAAATGAAGATATAGTTATACAGTCCTATATACAATTGAACCCAAAAGTGCAAACAAGTAGAAACAAAAAGAAATAAGAAATCCATTAAGAAAAATCTATATTTTCGGTAACAACAAAATTTAATTCAAATAGTATAATTTCTTCCTCCAAATAATAAAAAAAAACGAAATCGTCTAAAGCAGCAATCTAAAATAAGGGAAAAGTAATACCTTCAACTTTTGACCGCGTTGTCTGAGAATTCCTATTCCGATTCTGGTTCACCAATGTAGACTCGTTTGATGTGCGATATTTTGGGCCAATCCCATCCAACTTCTGGCTGGTACCTTCTACATAGATTTGGACAATCTTCAATACATAAGTATTCAAGGTAGGTGAAACAATGCATGTCTTCAGGGAGTGAAAGCAATTTTGGACACTTTATAATCATAAGTGTTTTGAGATGAATCAAAGTTGACAGCCACTTGGGAAGCTCCTTAAGATTGTCACAGTTATCAATCAACAAGGAATGTAATGGGCTTCCAGATCTTTGCAGCCATTGAGGCCAAGTCACCAGCTGTGGCAAATAACTAAGTTCTAATAACTTTAACCTTAACTCAAGGATTTGGTTGTCAAGGCCCTTTGACAATTCCAACTTGTCGCAGTTCCTAATAAGCAAAGTCTCTAGGTTTGGAGTAGCATGGAGTGGCAAAGACTTTAGATTGTCACAAGAATCAATAAACAACCCTTTAAGATTAGGCAGTTGCACCGCTTTGAGGAATGATACCAAATTGTCACAATTGCTTAAACTTAATAATTCTAGAGAAGTCAATTTTGCAACTTCTTTGTCCGGAAAATCAGATTGCTTTGTGCTTATACCCAGGTCTCGAAGACTAATCATGTTTCCTATTCCTTTGGGCAATGTTTGTAAATTAGTGCATCCTCTGAGATCCAAAACTAGTAGATTTTGGAGCTTGCAGACTGAACTAGGGAGTCGCTTAAGTTTTTCATTAGAGTAAAGACAGAGAAATCTTATATGCTTCAACTTACCAATGGAGCTGGGCAAACTCTCATATTCAGACTCAATTAAATTCAAAACCCGCAAGTAATTGCACCTTGACACCAATGTATTAAAGAAAGCTTCATTGTTGGCTCCATTAGGAAAAAATATGGTTCTCAGACCTCTTGGAATGGAAGAATGGTCAAGCAAATCATTTTTAAAAAATGACAAATGCTGGGCATGCTTACATATGTTCTGATTGCTAGAATTTAACAGTTGAAACTCTTCGTTTGCGACATACGTTGCAAGATCATGCACCAAATCGTGTAATTTAAATTCACAAGCAGTACCATGGTCAATAAAATCTTGAAGAAAAGATCTTGACTGCAGCTCATGCAAAAATTGATTGCCAACTTCTTCAAAAAAATTGTTTTTGTTTTGTGTTGGAAGAAAACTGAGTGCCACCCAAAGTGCAATAACATCAAAACTATTGAACTCAAAGTCTTTTGGAAAAAGGGAGAAGCAGGCAAAACATGATTTTAAATATGAAGGCAGTTGATCATAAGTTAATTGTAGAGCAGGAAGAATGTCACCTTCTTTTTGTGTTAAATTCCAAATCTCATTGTCTCTAACAGACTCCCAGTCTTTCAAATCAACTTTCAAGAATAGTGAACTTCCAACTGTTCTCATGGCCAATGGAAGCCCATCGCATTTTTTCACAATGTCTATCCCAATCTGCAACAATTCAGGATATCTTCTCTCTTCTCCTTCCTTAAAAGCCCATTTGACAAATAGGGACAAGGAATCATCTTCAGAAAGAACTTGTAGATCGTAAGATGAACCAGTGGACATCATGGTAGCAATTGAGTGGCTACGTGTAGTCACCAAGATTTTACTTCCTTCAGCACCTCCTTGTAGTAAATTCTTCAACTCGACCCATTTAACACGATCCTCGTTCCATACGTCATCCAAGACAAGCAAAAACTTTTTACCTGCAAGGTTACTTCTTAGAAGACGTTGTAGTTGCTCCATATCAGAGTTTTTAAAGCTCTCCCGGTGAGCTTGGACGGGAGCAGAATCACTACTATTAGTAGCAGATTTGAGGATTTTACGAAGCAAACCCTCAAGTTCAAAATCATCAGAGACACACACCCACATCTTCAATGGGAAAGACTTATCTATACTCTCATCATTAAACACCAACTTTGCAAGTGTAGTCTTTCCCAAACCTCCAATTCCCACGATGGGGATAACAGATAGACTTATATCATCACCATCGTATTGTAACAAAAGCTCTAAAATTTTATCTTTATCATGTTCCCTTCCTATCACATCTGAAGCATCAACATGGGAGTGAGTCATTTCCCTCCTATGCACAACACGTGTATCATTCTCAATGGTTTGAAGGCCAAACTTTTGCCTATCAGCGGCTACGTTATCTAATCTCTGTTTGATATCTTTGATCTGATGCGCCATTCTAATATGATAAACAAGAGGATTTGAAGTAGAGAAGAAACGGCGTACCTTCCTTGAGTTGCTACCGTAAGTGTTGACAACATGCTTACGTAAGGCTTCGCACTCAAAATCATCGATTATGTCTTCGGCATCAAAGAAAACACGCTTAATCTGTCTAAGCCACACACGCAACTCATTGTTCTGTTGCTGCTTTTGCTCTGCATCCAACAGCACAGCTTTGATGAATGTCACAGTTTCTTTGAGTCCATTCAGATCGGCCTTCACACTCAACACCGAAGAAGCTTCTTTAACAGTCAAAGAAGTAATCTTCCCAATGAGTGAATCTGCGACGCTGAAGAGAAGGGATTCGGCCATGATTTTGGGGGAAAGATGAAAGAGAAGAGAAAGGAATGCAACGCACTTTTGAGAAGTGTGCGTTTGGAAGAGGAGAGCCAAGATGCAATGTAAGTAAGTACACACGAGGTTGTGATGTGAAGTCAATGGCTAAAATATCTTAAGCTGAGAGAGTATCACAACAGTACATTAATTGGGTGCTGATGAAAGAAAAATGTACTGTAGATAAAGCTGATCTGGCAAGTCGCTGTTTGTTTACCTTTACAGAGGTCAATAGATAACTGTTCTCTAATTTATATATACGAGATCGGGATGTTTAGAAATTACTAAACCAAATAAACCATCTTTTCTTTAGCACCAAGTTGTTAAAATTTAGATTTTAAATAAATTTAAAAAGGGACTAAAAATTATAAAACGATATAAAAAAAATCATATGTACGTAAAAGCATTTAAAATATTAATAAAATTATTTTAATAAAAAAATTATAAAAACATAAAATCGTAATAATTAATTGAAATTTTAACAACCATCTAATTATATTAAGATTTCACTCTTACAATTATTTATTCATTCGGACACCAACACGGAGAAAGCACACATTGATTTACCATTTTTCGTCCAAATAAAACCCCATTATTTATTTATATTTATATGTTCTGACATAACATCCTTAATTATTTTATTAATAATTACAAATAAGGCCCCTCTTCTCCCTTCTTTTTCACTAAATAATTTAGTTCTTTAAAAAAATAAATTGCATACGGTAACTATTTGGCTATTTAGAGTTAATTTTTTCTGATTTGGGAGCAAGCAATGACAAATTTTAAAATAATTTAAGGAGTTAGATGAATATCAAACATTAATAAATTTATATTATATTATTTTAATACGTCCCCGCATCCACTTATATTTATATTTTACAACATTACTGTCATAAGTATGTTAAATTTTATTTATTATACATATTTCAAGTTTAATATCAATATTATCATTAAGAATGTATTGATAATAGTATCAGGTATACATTAATTATTTAGAATTATTTCTCTTTTTTTTTTTTTTTGGTAAACGAGAATTATTTTCTCTAATATAAAGATAAGTGAAAATCCATACACCAATGCAATGCAGTAGGTAAAACACTACTCTTAATTCAAACAAGAGACAGAAAATCATAATAATATGTTGATATAAGTTGTTTGATATTTCTGACAAAAAAAAGTACTCACAAATTTTTTTTCACACCTTTTAAGTAAGAGATTAATCTTCATATAAAATATTACCACAAAATTTTAGGATTTCAAAATTATTATTTTCCTTAAAAAATAGCATTTCAGTCACGATTGCAAAGAATGATGCTATGTGCTTGGAAATTTTAACAGATGTTAACAATGGAAGTTAAAGAGCTTGTTGATCACCACTAGGTTCTAAGCAATTTTGATGTTGAAGCTTTTTGGTTTAAAAGGCAAGAGTCAAGCTTGGATTTCTTGGCTGCTCACCCATAGAGTCTCGGTTATGACACAAGGGAGACGGAGAAGAGGAACAGTGGCCCTCTTGAAAAAAAAAAAACATCAAAATGTCACGCCAACAGTAAATTTTCTCAAAATGTCATGTGGTATATTTTGTTACACAGTGTAGCAAAATATGTGTGTAAATAATTCGCTACACGGTGTAGCGAAATATGCCACGTCAGAACCAAAAATGCCACGAGTCAAACAGAGAGAATTTCGCTACACCGTAGTGAAATATTTGCACACATATTTCGCTACATAGTGTAACGAAATATGTCACGTGATATTTTGACAAAATTTACTATTAGCGTGATATTTTAGTATTTTTTTTGCTAGCAGCGACAAATATGTTTGAGGAAATATCCGCTTAGTTGAATCATAAAGTAACTAATGGTGAAATAACCATTCCTTTTTTCTTTTACTAATTCCAATTTCATCCTTTCATCGAGTTAATCTTTTAATCTCATGAATTATTCATCTTATAACAATTCTCACTTTCACTTATGTCACAAATTAATGTCTCACCACATTATTTAACCGTTTCGGATATAATTTGTCTAATTGCACTTTTACCGAAAATTTTACGGTAAATGCACTTTTTACCATAAGTGACTTAAATTCTTCAAATTAAATGTGAAATTTAATTTATCCTCCAGATCCATGATTAATTCCCTAATCACTTGGTAATTTAATAATTTACAAGCTAAGGTTATTATAAATAAGAAATCAAGAAATTTTGAAATGATTTGCATGATAGGGATCACACATGACAGAATCAAGTAATGACGGATCCACCTTTGCTGATAGTCCTCTCCTCCTAGGGGTGACATTTCCTTTAGGGGTGACTCCATCTTACAAACAACCCTTTCCTTTCTCAAATCAAATCATCGGAACATGCTTTATCTCGCTGATAGCCCTTTCATCTAAGAGACGACCTCTCTCTTGAGGTGATTTCATCTAAGGGATAACTCTCTCCTTCCAAAATAAATATCTATATACAACTAGGTACACTTAGATCGTTACCCTATCTAACGGCTACGAGATTCTAATGGGGATCCCAAAAATATTTATAAAATATTTAACAAAGCAACATTTAATTCAGATAAATTCATTTCCAATGGTAAATAAAATTATAAAATCTCAACATTTTAAATTATATATTTGATAAAAAAATTTATATCCAAAATTTATAAAATAATTACAAGTGTAAAAAATCATAAATATAATGTCGTTATATAAAAATCCATATCAGGTATTTCAAAATGCACAAATTTGACGAATCACATTTTAAAATATTTTTTCTCCATGCATTTGATATTACACAATAATAATACAATAAAACATGAAAATAATAATAAAAATAAAATATGTCATATTAATTATTATCAGGGCAAGCAACTGAACTATGTTTTAGCCAAATCTGAACATCATAAAATTTTTTAATAATGCGTCAGAAATTATTTAAGGGTAAAATGATAATGGATGATAAGGAGATAAATAAAAACCCTAAATTTAGTCTCAAAACTCATGAATACAACAACCTAAAGCAAACCCATACAAATTTGTAGACTTTCTTAAATCCTTAGATAATAGGTTTACCTCAAGGAGTCAAAAAATGAAATCTTGAGGTGTGGGTTGCACCCTTTTTTATTAAATCACCTTCCACTAGAGGTATTCGCGGTCTGCATTAGATCGGTTTTGGAAGCAAAAATTATCTGATCAAATCCCTTCGGTTTGATCATGTAATCATCCATTCAGTTTGGAATTTTTTTCAAATCCGTTCCAATCCAATTTTTTCAGTTCGGATTGGATCGGTTTTCGATTTTTTAAAAATTCTAAAATTTGTTTCATGATTATTGTGAAAATAACATCTTTTGTATATATTGGCTTTGTATTTTTTTAAAAATACAAAAGCATCAGTAAACGATAATATAGTTCTTTTTGGCAATGAGATATAAAGCTCTGAATAGATGAAATTTTATTGATGAGATGTGACTAGGTTTTTCTTGGGTTTAGTTGATGGATTAATGGATTTTGGGTTTAGAAATTTTTGGGCTATGATTGAGGAAAGACCCAAGTAGGTAGAGGGGAATTAATATATTGAATCAGTTTGGATTTGATCGATTTTCATCAACCAAACCGAAAACTAATCCAATCCAATTAAAATTTGCTATTTTTTTTTCGGTTTTCGATTTTCAATTTATTCGGTTATCGATTTTTAGGTTCGGCCACCGCGGTTTGAATCAGTTTGGATCGGTTGATGAACTCCCCTACCTTCCACAACTTTAAAAGTCACCCAAAAAATCTATCTCTAAGAGAAAGAAATAAGAAGAAAAAGAAAATATGGTAAAACTTCAAGATTTTATCAAGCTTTCAAAAAATTAAATTGGAGATTCAGTGAAATGGGAAGCAAATGAAGAGGAAGTTAGGAGAGACATTGAAGAGAAATATGAGAAGGACTAAAATTTCATTTTATTTTATTTTTTTAGAAAAAAGAGTAAAATGTCATTAATTTTAAAATGGAACAGTGCATTTCAAGATGGTAGAGTAGGCGTGAAAAAAATGTAGGCATAATAACAATTACTAATAGCCTAATTGTCTTCAAAAAAAAAAATTGTTGTAAAATAAAAGGTAAATAAAACAAAAACAAAGGAAAAGTAAGTAACTAGTAGAAAACAATAAGATAGAAAGGTAAATGAATAGTTTATTTATTGTAGTGTATGTCTACAAGATCTAGTGTATATGAGCTTTAATCATAAACTCTCAACTAAGGGTATAAATGAGCCAACGGCTTGTCAGGGATCTATAACTTGGCTTGGCTTGTCTAAGTCTATTTTAAAAAAATAGCACAAGCTTGAGTTCATAAAAAGCTTGTTTAGAAATCAGCCCACATGCTTATTTTAGAAGGCTTGGTCTCTAAGTCTTTAGGCCCGGTCTCTAAGTCTTTAGGCCCGGTCTCTAAGTCTTTAGGCCCAGATCATATTTTTTTATAAATAGTATTTTCTTTTATTTTTAATAAAATAATATCTTGTTATTTATGTTGTTCTTTTTTTAATAAAGTAAAATCTTATAATTTTTTGCAATTTTTTGTCTTCTTACTTGGCAAACACATTTTTTTTTAACCTTGAATTCTTTAGCCTCCATAACTATATATCTCGTACCAGTATAATGAGAAATAGGAATTAACCATAATTAAATTATGAGATTATAATGCTAAGTCATGGCTAGTAGAGTAAGTTATAAGAAGAAAAGAAGAAGTATGAAAGGTAATAAATAGGAATTATAACATCACTTATATGAGGTATTTGAATTAAAAATGTTAGGTTATAGGACATGAAAAGAAAGATTGGTTAAGTAGGCTGTTGGCATCTGCTCGCTGAAGAGAGCAGTCCAGTGAGTAGATCCGTGTTTTGTTAAAAATAGGATGAAATGAGACACTTCATTTGGTCATCTTCTTCAAAAATCGAAAACAATCATTTTAGAGAGGGAAACAGCTTGAAAAACCTAAAGGGAGCTAGAGTATATCAAATCTCTTGGTTCTAACTTCAAACTTGTGTAGAATCAATTGGAGATAATAACCAGAAAAAGAAATCCCTTTGAAAACCATTGAGATGGGAGAGACTCTCTCTTGAAAGTGGCGACCCAATAGTGTTTTTGGAGAAAGGAGAGGTGCTTTGGTCATTGGAAGCTTGATGATCAACCCTTGGATTATTGTGAAGTGATTGGTGGTAAAAAATCATATTCTCCTTTAAGTGTCATGATGGTTGAATAACATAGGGTTTCATGAAAAATGTTGAGTGATTGATAAGGTTTGGGTGTGATTTGGACAGTGGATATGTTGGAAAGTATGATTAAATAAATGGTGAAAATGTTGTTAAATCATCATTTAGACATACTTTAGAAATTGCCTATAATTAAGTATATATTCCTTGTTTAACAAGTAATGTGTGTCGGATTGATGATGGTGATTACATTCCTTGATTTATAGGACTGAATCAAGTGAACAATTGTTAAGGAAACAAGTATTAAATGAATCAATGGAGCTTGATTTCGGATCTTGAGTGAATCAAGATTAGGTAAGTCATCAAGCTTTGTGTTGATAATGTGAATCCATTAGCTTTCTATATGTTTCTTATTTGTAGTTGATTGTGATTTCACCTTGGAAATAGGTGTTGTCGATAGCAAAGCCATTTGTTGATACTTGGGAAAAAAACAAGTGTTTGAGAAATTTCTTGTGCGTAAAGAAATCAATTAGTTTGGAAGCTTCAAGAGGTAAGCTTTCGGACATTGAGATTTATCTCTTCTTTGTTCCACCAAACTCTGAGGGAGGATGGTTTTATGTGGTGTATGTAATTGCATTAGATTTTGATATAATGCATTGTATGTATGTTGTAACACCCCGTGTGCACCCGGTGTATTAAACATACATATGGTAATGGCACAGCTAATTAAAATGTGGAAGCTAACTTTTTCTTTTCAATTATGATGTCATCATTATTTAACCAAGTGGATTACTTATTCCTTTTCAAAATATCGCCTATATGTAAATTGCAATAAATAACTAACTGAATAACCTCATTCAATATATGTGTATCTAGTCACGGAACTACAACACGTAGACCGAACAATATCCTGATACATTATACAACTCAAGTAAAATCAAACATAACTGATATCAATGTGACATGGACAACCCCCATGCTCACCAAATAAGGCGACATAGCCCAATCAATGTCTCAAATCAAATAACCATATACTAATATAAAAGCATAACAAGATCCAACATATCAGCACAACAACATGCATAGTCAACTCAACTCCGGCCTCCTACCGCTAGAGGTATCTATCCCCGAGGTACCTGTACCTGAAATATGCCCCAACACGGGATGAGATCTCTAAAAAGAAATCTCAGTAAGACAAGGGGTCCTCAAGGATCTCTCCACCCCAAGCTCACTTACATGTGCAATATAAGTTCCAAAACAGTATAACAGTATAATTTCCAAAATCTGTGCAATGCAGCATATAATCATGTCATGTGTGTATGCATTCTACTGGCCAGAGAATAAAAAGCAAGAATTACATAACTCTACAACCTACAGTACAAGGAACAGCGCTTGTACCTCACCCACGGAGTTACCGTCTTGTATGTCTCCACATACTCAGGGGTTACCGTCTAGGTGGAACACCACATACATATAATATGGCACTTGCACTCATAATTTTAGCTCAATAGCATATCAAGAATCATCATATATTTTCATAAAAACACAGCATGCATATAAACCATCCCTCCATGAAGTATGGTGGAACCAATAATGGACAAAATCGAGTACACGAAGCTTACCTCGCAAGCTATCAATCCAAACTCAAGAGTCCACACTAGCCCAAGGTCACCAAATAGCACAATCACAATCTGTTTAGACCAGAAACAGTATGCAGTAGGGGACGATGTCTTGGTCAAGTTCCAACCTTACTGACAAAAATCGATCAGGAACCAGACATTTTCAAAGTTGCGCCGCCGGTATTATGGCCTGTTTCTTATCGCAGAACGCATCGGGTCGGTTGTTTACCAACTAGCACTCCCTGAAGGATCGAAGATACTCTCTATATTTCATGTCTCGTTGCTCAAAGATTTCCGCCAAAATCTATCCTTTCATCCACAGCCGCTACCACCAGAGACCTGGGAAAGCCATCCAGTGACAAATCCGCTAGCCATAGTACGTTCTCGGACCCTTTCAAGTGGGAAAGGCTCGAACTTGCAGGTTCTGGTCCAGTGGCGAGGGCTGCCGATCGAAGACGCATCGTGGATGTCAGCGTCTGAGTTCTGCTAAGCGTTTCCACAATTCAATCTTGAGGACAAGATCGACTCTTTAAGGGAGGAGGGATTTGATAGGGACCTTCAACCAGGAAGAGATGAGATGAACGTCCATGGAAGAGAGGGGACAGAGGCCATGATAAAAGGACCAGAGAAGAGTGAGAATAGGCATCTGCGGAGGGGTGACCGAGTCAAGCTGCAAGCCAGGTACACCAAGGATTATGTGCTTGGTACACGTGGGTAAGATGTGTCAAAGAACCACTCAACCGCTCAACATGGATGGCTTGGGCTGAGTATAATAATTAGACGTTGTTATTATTGGGCCATTGCATTTTAGCCCATTTCAATGTTATTTTCGTTTCAATATAATAGGTGAGAGAGATGGGTGAGAAGGTAGCTAAGAATCTGTAACAAACTTGTTTCTTTCCTCATCTCAACTTCTGGAGTAATCAGCAAACTCGAATTGCTGAAATATATAAAATACATTGTTTTCTTAATTTCCTTGTTTGCGTGTGAATTAATAGCTTGAGGCTATCAGTAAGATATAAGTTTGATAAAATATATTTAATGTTATTATTATTCCACAAACATAACAATATGCTATTAAAGAATTAAACATTTGGAATTCTCAAGTTAAACACCCTCATCTTTTGTAATGAGAAAGAAAAAAAAAAAGTTCCTAACAAACTGCGAAAGGTAATCGGATAGGTCAAGAGGTAAGCTGCACTATATTTTGATTAATCATTTTCTACGTTTGAGATTGTACCCCCAATCCTTACATAACTTATCATGATATCTAATTATCTATCAAACATTAAGATTTTGATGAACCAATGGCTATTGAAAGTCTAAAGCATCAAGTAGAATGAAGAATTAATATCAAACTTAATATTCAACGAAGAGAAAAAACGAGAATAAAGATTGTTTCGGAAACTTAAATCTGAGATCTGCGCATTGCAAGCAAGAAACATCAGCAATTTTGTTCAAGAGATAGTTCACCATACTGAAACAAAAGGGCAGGGGATAATAAAGAAGAAGAACGATAACTAGCAATTGGACTCAACAAACTGAACTACTTCTAAGATCAAATGTATGAATCCCAAATAGGATTTGAACCCAACAAACTGAACGACTAACACAATGACATACAATCCAAGCGAACAACAAATACTGTAGGACTAATACTCAGCAATATGAACCAGATAGCCATGCTATTGCAGATGCTGACTTCAATGGTGCCTTCACTTTCTTGTGTATGCCCCATTTCCTGTGATCATTGGCAGAACAGTAATCCATTTAACACATTTAGTTTGAACTATAAAAGACACATTATAGATATCCTTCTAATCAAACTAAGCCATCGCTAACTGAATGGAAACCAACATTTTTTAAAGAACAGACATACAAGGAATATATAACAATTCCATATGACAGAATACATAATTCTGATATAAATCGAGACAAGAAGAAAGTCTAACTTTCATTCCATGTGAAAAAGAAAAATCAAATAAAAGAGAAACAAGTTTCGGGAGTAAAAAGTGTAACTTTACTTCCAATCCATGTGATTTTGCCAATAGTAAAAACAAATAAACAAGAAATGAATCAAGCTTTTGCATGACTAAGAAAGAAGGTTTTAAATAAACTATCAATTTAATTTTCTTCCTGAATTAAGCACAAATAAATCTGGCAAACCATCGCAGATCTACTATCTACATCACCAACTATAAAATATTGAACACGAACAACAGAGCTGAAATATGAATCTTAACATTAGCTTTTAGGCCATCTTACAACATGCAGGAATCCTGAATTCTCAATTACCTGAAAACATGTATAATATATTTCTGTATGAGCCACAAAAAAGATCCTTATATTTGGTATGATGTTAGACACAAGACTTTGTAATATCTTATACAATCATATTGATCTCAAGAAATCAATTGATCCTCATATTTGAATAATGAGTACAATACTCCTGTAAAGTTCAATCCCTGAGGTTCTGTAAAGTTCAACTTTGAACTTAGAACTCAGTTCAGTTTAATTTTTTATTCAGATCTTTGACATAATGAAGTCAAAAGTGAGTAAGATCATTAGGCTTAAAATCACTATAATATTTTGTCTAGAAAAAATAAAATTAAAAACACATTTGAATAGGATTCGATATAGACACTAAAATCTGTTTATTTTTATTTTTATTTTTTTTTCTCTAAAAATCTATAATAAGAGAAAATTAATACCTTCCACTTTTGACAATGTTGTCTAAGAATTCCTCTTTCTCTTATGGTTCAGGAATAACGACTCGTTTGATGTGAGATATTTTGGGCCAATCCCGTCCTACTTCTGGCTGGTATCTTCTGTATAGTTCAGGGCATTCTCCAATTACTAAAACTTCAAGGTTGGTGAGGTGATGAATATCATCTGGGAGTGAAAGCAACTTTGGACAATTGATAATTACAAGTGTTTTGAGATAACTCGAAGCTGACAGCTGCTCGGGAAGCTCCTCAAGATTGCCACAACGTGTAATCATCAAGGAATGTAATGTGCTCGTAGATCTCTGCACCCATTGAGGACAAGTCACCAACTGTGGCAAATTACGAAAGACTAGAAACTTTAACCTTAACTCAGGGATTTGGTTGTCAAGGCCCTCTGACAATTCCAACTTATCGCACTTTATAATATACAAACTCTGTAAGTTTGGAGTAGCATGAAGTGGCAAAGACTTTAGACTCCCACAAGAATCAATAGCCAACGATTTAAGATTAGGAAGTTGCATTCCTTCGAACAATGACTCCAAATTGTCACAACAAGTTAAATTTAATGTTTCAAGAGAAGTCAATTTTGCAATATCTTTGTCCGGAAAATCAGATTGCTTTGTGCTTAAACTCAAAACTCGAAGGCTAATCAAGTTTCCTATTCCTTTGGGCAATGTTTGTAGCTCCGTGCATGCATAGAGCTGCAAAAATCGCAAATGTTGGAGCCTGCTCAATGAATTAGGGAGACTCTTCAGCTTTTGATTATCCGAAAGAGAGAGATATCTTAAATGTTTCAACTTACCAATGGAGCAGGGAAAGGTCTCATACTCGGACTTACCTAATTTCAAAAACCGCAAGTATTTGGACCTTGACACCAATGTATTCAAGAAAGCTTCGTTGTTGGCTCCCACCGGAAAACATACTGTTCTCACACCTCTTGGAATGGAAGTTTGACCATGCAAATCATTTTTGGTGAATGACAAATGCTGGACATTCTCAAATACATTCTCACTACAAGAATTTATGACTTGAAACTCATCTTTTGCAACATAAATTGCAAGATCATGCACCAAATCGTGTAATTTAAATTTGCAAGTAGTACCATGGTCAACAAAATCTTGAAGGAAAGATCTTGATTGCAGCTCACGCAAAAATTCATTGCCTACATCATCCAGTGTTTTGCTTTTGTTTGGCGATGGAAGAAAACCATGTGCCTCCCAAAGCCAAGGAACATGAACATCATTGAAATTAAAGTCCTTTGGAAAAAGGGAGAAGCAAGCAAAACATCGTTTTAAATATGAAGGCAGCTGGTCATAACTTAATTTTAAGGCAGGCAGAATGTCACCATCTTTTTGTGGTAAATTCCAAATCTCATTGTCTCTAACAGACTCCCAGTCTTTCATATCAACTTTCAAGAATAGCGAACTCCCTAATGTTCTCACAGCCAATGGAAGCCCACCACATTTTTTCACAATGTCTTTCCCAATCTGCAACAATTCAGGATATCTTCTCTCTTCTCCTTCTTTAAAAGCCCATTTGACAAATACAGACAAGGAATCCTCTTCAGAAAGACCTTTTAAATCGTAAGATGAACCAGTGGACATCATGGTAGCAATTGAGTGGCTACGTGTAGTCACCAAGATTTTACTTCCTTCAGCACCTCCTTGTAGTAAATTCTTCAACTCGACCCATTTAACACGATCCTCGTTCCATACGTCATCCAAGACAAGCAAAAACTTTTTACCAGCAAGTTTACTTCTTAGAAGACGTTGTAGTTGCTCCATATTAGAGTTTTTAAAGCTCTCCTGGTGAGCTGGGGAGGGAGTCGAATTACTAGTATCAGTAGCAGATTTGAGGATTTTACGAAGCATATCCTCAAGTTCAAAATCATCAGAGACACACACCCACATCTTCAATGGGAAAGACTTATCTATACTCTCATCATTAAACACCAACTTTGCAAGTGTAGTCTTCCCCAAGCCTCCCATTCCCACGATGGGGATAACAGAGAGACTTTTATCATCACCATCATGCTGTAACAAAAGCTCTAAAATTTTATCTTTATCATGTTCCCTTCCTATCACATCCGAAGCATCAACATGTGAGTGAGTCATTTCCCTCCTATGCACAACACGTGTATCATTCTCAATGGTTTGAAGGCCAAACGTATGCCTATCAGCAGCAACCTTTTCTAACCTCCTTTTAACATCTTTTATTTGAGGCACCATTATAAGACAATAAACAAGAGGATTTGAAGTTGAGAAGAAATGGAGTACCTTGCTTATGATGCTACCGTAAGTGTTGACAACATGCTTACGTAAGGCTTCGCACTCAACATCATCGATTATGTCTTCGGCCTCAGAGAAAACACGCTTAACCTGTCTCAGCCACACACGCAACTCATTGTTCTGCTGCTGCTTTTGCTCTGCATCCAACAGCACAGCTTTGATGAAAGACACTGTTTCTCTGAGCTCTCGCATATCATCGTACACACCCAGCGCCGAAGAAGCTTTTTGAACAGCAGGAGAAGCAAGCTTCTCTATGAGTGACTCTGCGACGCTGAAGAGAAGAGATTCAGCCATAATTCTGGGGGGGGGGGGGGGGGGGGGGGGGGGAGAGGAAAGAATAGGGAGAAGAATTCAAAGCAATGCACTTAAGAGAAGAGGGTGACACGGTTTGTGTAGCAAGAGCCACGAAGAATCATAATTATACCAAGTCTCTAGTCAATGGCCATCTATTAAGTCACCTTTTTTTATGTATTTGTTGTGGAAAACCATGTCCTTCTTTTTTCTTTTTCTGTTAAACACACGATGTAGTTGTTTCAAGAGTAAATACATTTTTTGGTCCCTAACAAAAAAATTACGGTCTCTAATTTAGTCATTTACAAAAATAAATTAGTCACTTAGTCCCTAACAAATTCAAAGTGGATCCATTTAGTTGAAATCGTGGTCCCTCACAAATTCAAAATAGACCCATATTAGTTCCTCAAAAGGACTAAAATGGGTCCACTTTAAATTTGTTAAGGATTAACTGACTAATTTATTTTTGTAAAGGACTAAAGTGGGGACCGTGGTTTTTATTAGGAACCCAAAAGGATATTTACTCTAAATTCTAAAGGGAAAAGATATCTTCGCAACATTTTTTTTATAAATTTACATTATGTAATGTGTTATATGTTCTTGATTCAAGTATGACTTGTTAAACATGTTTGTAAAAATTTGTAAAAAAAAAAAATTATAAATATAATTTTTTCCAATTATAAATTAGAATATAATAGTAATATGGTATTAGGTGTGATTATCAACTTTCACGTTACCCAAGTTACTATATGTTCGTATAAGGCTGCAACTTGCAAATAAATTACAGATTAGGTAATAGTCCGGTGACCTGAGGCGTGATTTACGAATATGCAAGTTTCTCTAAAAAACAATTTATTTGTATGAGGTTGCAACTTGTAAATAAATTACAGATTAGGTAATAGCCCAGTGATGTGAGGCGCTACAAAGAACGGACACGCCCAAAATTTTGAAAGGTGTGATTATTAAGGGAAAACTTTTTCTGCTTTCAAATTGTCCTGTACTTTTAGTTATTTATGAAGGAAATCTTAGATTTATGCGGAAGCGGTTTAGGACCTAGTACATTGGTATGCTTACCGAATCATCCTTGTTACACAATTACCTCTCGGTGCGCAGGTGTCGTGTAGAATCTTCCCTTGTAGGATTCCTCTTCACGAACAGCTCACCTTAGCGCCGCAGCACGAACAACCTCCTTGAAGCTAGACTGTGGTAGATCTTCCAGACTATCTCTCGAGGAGGATGAGATGGTTGTGTGGGCAACCGTTCAGATTATGAACGTCTGCCTCTTAGGTTTGTTTCTGATGATCTGATCACCTTGGAGGCACAAGAGGAGAAAACTATGAATATATACGCTTAGGTCTTAGACATAACTTAACCCTAAGCCTCATGGGCTCAAGTTTCACTGAAGCCCAATAGGACTTTAGTGACCAAAAGAGCATATATCCAACAATCTCCCACTTGCTCTTTAAGATACAAACTTGAGTTCGTAAACCCAAGACCATGTAGCCCATAAGCTATCATCATCTGATAATATACCCCATCCCTTGTCTCGAGCTAGCCTGGGGACCTACCATTTGTCATTGATCAAGGCTCCTGATAATCTTTACAAGATTATCTAATTCGGTGCTACTCCACTAAAAGCCCGAACGTGAACTCCAAGATTAATGACCTTTATAACATTAATATGCATTGCCCCTTTATAGAATGTCTATAATTCATTGATTAGTTTTCTGTAACCCAATCAATTATTTATTCCCTTGACTTTGATAATTTCTCTAATGGATTACATGCACTGGCCAGTGTCTTTAATATCCAAGTACCGAAATATATCAAGGGGACATTTCCTATAAATTCCTTGTTGTTTATCTCATAAATACTGATAATCAAATAATCTCACTCCCAAAATACCGAGTTATTGGCCGTCAATAGATCGAACCTCACCCGTTGGTAAATCAAAGAATGAAAACTATTTGATTACCTATTTATAATAAACTCAGGATTAAGAGCAATCACATAGCTATAGTTAACTGGAAATTTGATTCCTTATGACAGAAAGAACAACCTTAATCAAATCTCTCCTTGATCCTTTCAATGTGAATGTTAATTCACACCAATATTTTACAATGATTCAGACAAAACCATTTCATAAAATATTGCAGCCTAAATAAAGTGCCCAACTTTATTTAACAGCTGTGAATCCATTCATCAATTGTGAGAACCTATGATCATGTCCTCTATGAACGTATCCATATGATCATATACTCCACAATTTGATCCGGACCTTTATGTTTGTAAATAGTGCGCAAAATAAATAAATAAAACCTTATTTATGAAATTCAGAAAATTATTTTATTGTTTCATTGTCTTACTCCAAGAGCACAATGAAACCAATAACTCCCACTTGCTTAATGCAAGTCTGGGATCCTCCTAAACCCAAAGAAGTAACATGCCTCTCGAACACAAGTTCAGGCAAACTCTTAGTAACTGGGTCTGCAAGATCCACCTCTAATGCTATCTGAGTTTAGTGAAAAACTCATAGCTCGAGGTTGATTTTCTTGAGTCAATATCCACTTGAAATAACTGAATTTTTGAAAACTCAGCTTTTCAAGACTCCCACTAGAATATACCAGCATATAATCTCTCGTTCTCCAAAGATACTTGAGTACATGCTTAACAATAATCTAGTATTCCTCTAGGTTCAAAATGGTACTATCTTACTACTCCCACTGCGTGACAGATGTCTGGTTTAATGCCCAACATGATATGCATGAGTCTACCTTTGCCAAAGCATAAGATATCCTACTCATGCATTCTTTCTTCTTAGAAGTCTTTGGTTACTCCTTAAGAAGATGAATTCCACATCTGAGAATTATAATTCTTCTCTTAGAATTCTCATGTTGAATTTTGGCAAGAGTTTTGACAATGTAAGTAGCCTGAGGTGATGCCAACAACTTATTCTTCCGGCCTCATAAGAGTTTTATACCAAGAATATAATTGGCTTCCCCAGTACTTCCATACCAAAACACTAACTTAGCCAACTCTTTATGCTTGATATTACCTCCACATTGTTTCTAATAAGGAGCATATCATCTACATAAAGTACCAGAAAAGCTACTGTCTTCTGTTGTATCCTTTACATACAAATACACATCATTCATCAAGGTTCTCTCAAAATTAAAATTTTGATAACCTGATCAAAACTGATGTTTCAAGACCTGGATGCTTGCTTAAGTCTATGAAATAGACTTTCACAACTTGCATACCGTGTGTTCCTACACATTTGCTATAAACCCTTTTGGTTGTTATATGTAGATATCCTGACATCCAACTCCCAAAATGAAATCTCATAATTGAGACTTATAGCAACTAAGAGAATCTGGATAGACTCAAGCATGGCGTCTGGCAAAAAATGCCTCCAAGCTAGCTTTGAAGGTTTTCACCTTTCTGTCCATCCTCTCTTTGCCTTTTATGTCCACATGCACCTTGTGGGTTTTACCCCTCTTGGTGTATTTACTAGGACCGAACGGAGTTGAAATACAAGTATTTCATCTCATTGTTCATAGCGTGAGCAACACTTGATCAACAACATCTCACTCAACAAGAGACAACTTGAGAGTTAACAAGGTTCTCTCCTATTACGAATGTACTGCACTAGACCTTGTGTATTTATAGGTAAAATAAATAGTGGGTCAAATGATGGATCTTCAATTTCTTGAGGATCCGATTATCCTTGATATTGTTCCTTTACATGTGATACTAATATTTCTACTAGTTTCACTTATATATTATCATGTTGAATTTCCAATCATGGTTCTCTTGTTTGTTCACTTAGAGATATATCTATCCCCTCTTGAACAATCAAGGGAACAATGGATGAAGCTTCTAGAGATTCTGGAAATTCTTGATCTGAGATAAATCTCATCAAGAATAACCTAACTTAAGAGCTTATAATTTCTTATCTAGTCCTCCTTTAAGAAAATCATGTGAGTGCTCACTTAGATTATCTTGTCCTTAAGACTAAATAAGAAATCATCCCTAGTTCTCTTAGGGTAGCCAAAAGATATGCACACTTCCATACAAGATTCCATCTCATTTGACTGCTGTTGTAGGACGTGTGTCGTAGCACCCTAAATTCGAATATGGTTTGATCTGGGCTTGCACCCTTTCCATAATTCTTTTAGGTGTCTTTACAACAAACTTTGACGGAACCAAGTTAAGAAGGTACATTTCCTTCTCTTAGGCATCTCCCTTGAACAACATTGACAAAGATGAATAACTGAACATGATCTTCACCAAGTCTAGAAATGTTTGATTTTTGCATACTGCAACTTCATTCAACTAATGCGTTCTTAGAGTTGACAGTTACGAAAACTATCCCCTCTTAAATCAGGTAAGACCTGAACTTACCAGACAGGTAGCCAACACTTTAGTCAGACCAAAGTGTTTTTGATTTGAACACCTACATGCTTTTCTGCCTCAGACTAAAACTCTTGGAAATTTCCAAAAGCTTTAGACTTATGGCGCACTTGGTTCATCTGTCCAAATTCAAAGTAAACATTCATATAATGAAGTACTCATCACCTCTTCTGGTCTGAACGCTAAGTGGTCCACATACTTTAGTATGTACCAATTCTAGTTGAATAGTTGCGCAAACCTTTTTGGCCCTTGTAGGATTGCTTGGCCATTTTACCTTCCAAATAGGACTAACATGTAGCTGTTAGTTAAAAGATTCTTGAACTTTCAGTCATTCTTTTAACTAAAACATGTTTCCTACTTGAGATAATATGACTCAATCACAAAGGCCAAAGTTATGTTTCATTTGAAACTTTTATTTCTTTGGTGAAATTTCTTGTTCATCATCCTTCCATTCAACATAACAAATTTAAAAAGGTTATAGGACATAGGTAATAAAGACTATTTAAACAATGTACCAGAACAAACAAGACGAAGATGAACTTCGAAATGTAACTGAGGAATCAATTGCATTGTCAACCCATGTTTTAACC